ACCTACATCGACGAAGGGGTTTTTCTTTGGGAACCCCAACCGGAGCCTTTGATTCAAGAGTCTGACCCACAAGGAAGGGGCGTAAATCTAGCGGGGGAGCGTGAACGAAGCACCCGTGTGGGAGCTTCTGGAGACCTGTCACGCAAGGCCTTTGAATTTCAGTTAAGTTTGTTGTTCGCTGGTGCGTTGATCATCGGTCTGCTGTTCGGGATCAGCCCTTAACCTCATGCACCCGAAGAGACAAGCCGCACGTGGACGGGACAGCATCTTATTGGTTGGGGGCTGTCCAGCTTGGGCGGGCAGTAGCTGTCCGGTGAAGTGCGCAGACTTCTCCCACCGTCGAGAAGAAGCCACAGGTGCCCCGCTCTTACGTCCATCTAGCGGGGTTTTTCACCGGTTAACTGCCCCTCAACGTGTCTATTTGCTGGAGTGACCTCTCCAGGGGCGGGTGTGGATAGAAAAAGGAAGCCAGGAGGTGCCCAAGCAGCTGGCCTTGTGAGACTGAGCTTTGACTGGCCTCTACCCGTTGACCTTTCAGGCATGATTGAATCTGCGGCTGTGAGGAACCATCCTGTATAGCTCACAGAATCATGGAGGCACGCAAGCCATCAAACCACGTCAAGGTGCAGTCTCGTCGTGATGGAATATAGATGCAATCAATATTGTATTTTAACTTCTCGCTGGTATCATACTCCGTCGATTGTCTGCCGCACGTGAATAGTGCACGCGTGAGAAACATGGTAGTGTTAGACGTGGTTGAGGTTGTATGGACCACACCTTCACTCTTCGATAAACTCTGGAGCACCGACCTTCTTTTCGTAGACCCACTATCTCTGTTTTCCTCCATTTGAAAGCGGCTTTCGATTCAGTCGACCGCTCTAAACTCTGGCGCTGCCTTTCCTTTCCGAGAGTCTTTTTTCAATATCACGATCCTTTTATACGAAAAGCTGGAGTCCAGTCTGAACCTCTCACACTCTTCCGCCCGAGCTCATCATGGAAAGTGGAGTTCGTCCGGATTGCCCTCTATCTCCTTCATTTAACTTTGCTATAGATTTGACTACGGAAACATTCCTACTCTCGTGCGAGCATAGCGGTACCGATTTACTCCCAGGTGGCAGGCTGTCTGATCTACAGTACGCAGACGACATTGTGCTACTAAGTGAAGATCCAGGTAAGTTGCTGGCTTTTCTGAGTGAGTGAGTGCCTGCGTAGCCATGTTCGGTATGCGTCTTGCACCTTCAAAGTGTAAAATGTTGCTACAAGACTGGGTTGGTCCAGTACCCAGCCTCACGAAGACACGTTTTGTTATTTGGGCAGCTATATCTCACCCGGTGAAGGCATCACGGATGAAGTGTCAGCTCGCATACAGAAAGCCCTCATAGATTACGTTGATTGGGACATGTGTTACGCATGGCCGCAGATAGGTTACCACTGCGCGATGTTTGCCGAGGCAGATATTTGGTGGAAAAAGTCAAGAGTGGTGAAAATAAGGCCTGGCACGAGGGTGTGAAAACCCTAACAAAGAGACTCGGTCAAATAGGTTCAGTTAGGCTCTTGTATGGCGACATCGAACTGATCGTAGGCGGTGGGTAGACACTGATTGATATGACTGTCGTAAACAATGGCGTTTGTGCATCTGAATTTCCTTGCAACTCAGTCCACTGAAAGTCTCCAGTTTCTCTTTGACTATACTTTTAAATCTGCTGACTCCTTCAACTGTTCATCCAAAGGGGCAGCCACCGAAACCGCCACATGAAATTGCGTGATTAGTGATTGTACAAATTGAAACTGAAACATCCGCATCCCGAGCTACAATCACTGCACATCATTTGGAACTAAAACTTTCATTTCAGCTCATCCATGTTGAATTTGAACAGGATTGAAATGACAGAGACCGACAGTGCGCCAAAATCTTTGTTGTTCGTGATTTAACGTAACTTTCAAGGTAGTAGACCTGATCGATCGTCACTCAATACCAACACTGGTCGCAACTATATCAAGTTGGAAAAACCCGTTCTCGTCTGATCACCGAAGGTAAGCAACGTCGGGCCCGGTGAGTATTTGGATGGGTGACCGGCTGGGAATACGGGGTGTTGCGGCCGTTCCGTTTCACTCCTTTCGTAGATCCACCATTTCTATCTTCCTGGATCTGGAAGCGGCTTTCGACTCAGTCGACCGCTCCAAACTCCGGCGCTGCATCGCTCTGAAGGGTATGCCCGAGAAGTTTACTTCAATATTGCAATCCCTTTATAATAACAACCGAATCCGAGTTCGAGCTTACGGTACTTCTTCACCCGAGTTCACTACAGAAAGTGGTGTTCGACAGAGTTCCCCTCTTTCCGTTTCTATTTAATTATTGAAACAGCCCTATTCTCGTGCGAGGATAGTGGTATCGTTTTACTCCCAGATGCAGATGACATCGTGCTACTAAGTGAAGATCCAGGTAAGTTGCTAGCTTTTCTGGATAGTTTGAGCGCTAGTGTAGCCATGGTCGATATGCGTTTTGCACGTTCACAGTGTAAAATATTGCTACAAGATTAGGTTGTTCCAGCCCCCAACCTAACCCTGGCTAGGGAAGTACATAAATCTTGTTTTGTTGGCAGCTATATCCCACCTGGCGGACGCATTATAGATGGAGCAAGTGGTCGAGATTACGTTGGTTGAGACATGTGTTACGCATATCACCAGATAGGTTACCACGGCGAACGATGTTTACCGAGGCGGGTAGTGGTCAAGCTAAGACCTGGCAAGAGGGTATGAAAACCCTAACCAGGAGACTAGGTCACATAGGTCNGTTTGCCAAGTCTGGTAGCGATTGGAAAAAGACGAAGAGTGGTCAAGCTAAGACCTGGCAAGAGGGTATGAAAACCCTAACCAGGAGACTAGGTCACATAGGTCCCGTTAGGCTTTCTGGCTGGGGACCTCGTGATGATCGTAACCGATGGTTGGAGACACTGAACGATATGGCTGGGTGTCGCAAACAGTGGTGCTCATGTATCTACTTATTATTCTTGTAACACCATCTGCCGCTTCAATTTGATTTCAAAATTTCAATCTTCATTCCGCTCTTTCATCCAAATGGGCGCCCAAAAGACAGCAACCAAAAGCTGCGCACGAAAGTGCCTGGTTAATGGTTGTGAAAACTGAAAACGAGATCAACACTTTTTCCTGTAAGTTAAATTTGAATACTTTTTAGACAAATTGCCCCCCCACAAAAAAAAATATATATATATAACATGTCCAAATGTTTTATTGGTATATTGCCTGTAAGTCTAGCTAAATTCGGTTAATGTCACATCTCAGGAGCATGCAAGAATCTGGTAGTAGACAGGATGAATGCTTATATTGGCACTGCCGATGTAAGAAAACGGTATCGATTTGAACAGGTAGCTTTTGCAAGGCACTTCAAATTTCATTAATAACTTTACTTTACTGCGGCTGGCTCCTTCGAAAGGATAAACCGACTCCAGACATGATCGTGAAGATCCCTGGGAGTTTGGTACGACAGACGTCCCCAGCGTCACTCGGCGTATTTTATTTTGCCGGTGCACCTCTAGCCTTTGCACAACCAATTGCGAACTGCAAGGCAGCAGCAAGTAATCCCTCGCCTCGGAAATGAGGGGGGTTGATGACTTTACTTATAAAAGGCTAGTTTCATCGACCTTTGTCACGACACCGTTATTGGGCTTATGTGGTTTTTAAACACGAGCCAGGTGACCAGCCTGAAACCCACCACACCCTGGTAGTGCTGCCGCTGTTTGTTCGTAACTGCTTATTTGTTGCGGTATGCCACAACATATTCACAGCTAACCTTCGATGAATGTATCCCCCTATGCACGACCCGGGGACGCGCCTGCTAGCATTCAGCTCTGCTTAACCCGAGGGTATCCATCTCATTACCGGTGACCGTGGAACTGATTGCAGTTTGTTTCCGAAGTTTCCGTTGGCCGGTAGGCAACTGGTATTCAAAAGGTAGGCATTTTTGTTGCGTGTTTTACCGGGAAATATCTTTGTATATTTCACTCGACCGGTGACATACGGAATTATTGAACCAGACGGGATGGTTATCACTAAGAGAAAATATAGTTGGCTAACTGGGAACCCCGCTCAAGTGTCCCTCAAGCGGGAACGCGATAGTTTACTGGAGCCGGATAAAGATGAAAGATTTTTTCAGCTACGCTGGAGAAAGCCAGTGGGATCCATCAAATGAAGTTCAGAATAGACAAATTTCTAATCAGACCCTGAATCATTTAAATGTATATGAAAGCGTTTTCTCTGCATATCAGTGGGTGATATCGATTGTATTTTAATTATCTGATATTCCTTGGAATGAATTTTGGACTAATTTAAGAACAATTGCACCTCCATGCTATTATTGATTAGTCAGTTCAGTTCAGTTCGGTGCCCAGGACGGTAAAGCCAGCTTGCCAGGTCGTCCAGTTTCTTGCACCAGTGAGCTCCAAGGATCTCCCGGTGCTGCGACAATAGCATGAAAGGATTCACCTTCAATGGTACACACGTGGATGGGCGGATATCTATGACATGTTCAATCGAAGGGGTGGCTGACGGTAAGGCGTCACTTTCAAAACCCGTGATGACCTGATATAGTCTATATGCATTTGCGAAGATTAAGGAATCAAAATTTCATGAATAAGAAGAACCAGAAGTGATCAGATGATTCTTTAGAAGTTGGAGATTAACAATGAAATTACAATTAGGAACCAGTCCCAGTGGCGGCAGCCCTGGAACGTATAAATTCCTGAACTTTCGATTCCAATGTAGTTGCAATAACACGATGGGCCTGTGTCTTCTCCTCCAATACAGCAGCTATATCTTGAATGTGTTTATTTATGTATTCAATTCTTCTTGTGAAATGTTTTTCGGCCTGGTCGATCGTCTACAAACAAAAATCAAACAGATAAACTCCATTACCATTTCCGAGAAGTAACCTGTGCCAATGTCAACTATAACATGCTCTGTATCGGTAAGCTTGCCCGGTACACACAGAGTAGACGTGAGGGGCACCAGAATATCTCCATTCTGGCTAGCTGGCAAAAAATCATTCAAACAATTTTTGGATGAAGCAAACTGTTTTTGAAGGGTTTTTAACTGTTGTATGGAGGCAGTGAAAAGCCTTATATTCTGATCATACTGCTTAGCTAATTCTTGTAGCTGTGGGATGGACAAGTCGGTGATATTTACCGTCTCGCTAGTCATCACCAAGATAACTTGTGACGGCGTCCAGTTTGTAGTTCTGGTATTGAGTTCAGGTCAGGTCAGGTCAGGTTGCACAGGACTGGTAGTGGCCACGGGCCAATCGAGCG